CCCCTCAAGAAACCCCTAGATTCGCCACTGGGTGAAATGCGTTATTTAGTGGAATGACGCCAAACTTTTAATAAGTTTGTTCCTTTTTAACAAAATTTAAGCTACTTCATAACGCAAGTGTTTTTTGCTTTGTTTTCTAAATATTTATCTTTCCTCATGTAAACATACTTTTTACATAATATTTTACATTTATACGAGTAATTTCTCAAAAACAGCGACACCTTGCTGCGTTTGACTTTCATATTTATTTTTTATAATAGTTAAGGTTGTATTTCAATAGAAGACTAAAAAGAATAAAGAAGAAAGTAATTAATTGCTTCCATCAAAATAATACGTTGTATTGTAAGTTATAATATATGTTATATATTAATGTTATAGAATATTTAAATACATAGTTAAAAAAGGTACTTGCATTATATAAAATGATAGAAAGCAAATACAAGTTGAATCCTTGTTTTAATTTTATTTTCATAATTTTCATAATTTTCACCGTGCAAGTGCTCACCATTTATTGTAAATAAGTATTTCTTCATAATTAACGTCTTAATTTCTGAACGCAAAAAATGGTGATTTTAGGTACAAAAGCGACGATCGTTTGTAAGAGAGATCTATTGAAATGTTGAATAGTTATACATAATGATTACTAATGCTGAAAATATACGTTAAGCTATAGTACTTTATACGTTTTCATTTCAAACTGCACAACATAAATGAGACATATTTTCCTTACGTTATCCGGAATGGAATGCAGAAGATCCGTCGGGACTTAAGGTTCTACATGGTTCTGGACCCGTTGAGCCGAGATCCGGATCCGAGATTCGGATCTGAAACACAGCTCTTTTGGCCCGACAGAACCCAGAACATTAGTTCGGCTTTCGGGTCTGAATCTCGGATCCGGATCCACTCGGATGGTTCCGCTGATTCGACAACCGGGTTTGCCAATATTCATGACCCGTATGTAAGCTTTTAAAAATGAATGTAAAGTAGCCATATTTTTCATTTTATTAAATTTAATTTAGTTAAGTTTTTGTAAGTTTTGAAATAATATGTTAACTTAGTTGCACGACAGTCCCACGCCGCTTTATTTTTAGACATATAAAAGATCCGCTAAGATCTGAGACCCGTATTTGGAAAATTTCAAGATCCGGATCCGATGGGTCTTTTCAAAGATCCGGATCCCTGGGTCGGGTCAGTTCCGACCCGCCCATCACTACCCATATGGCATATATCATAATTTGCTTGTCAACAAAATATGAAATTAAAAAGTTCATTTTTTTCCCATAACAGGTAGTAACCAGAGATTAGTTGAGAGATCGCCGATCCCGTGTTAAAAAAGTGTACCGGAATTTACCATTGCGCCACTGCGGCGGGCACTACGAACTATGACTACGTTGAAGCAGCGTAGGAGAGGTAAATAGTGGGGATCGTGGGCATATTACATTACAGGTTAAGCCTGTCGTGCTTTGCATGAGTTTTCTAACGAGCGTAGTTCGGGCAAAATCGTAAGATTTCGCATATGTGGGTATCGTCACCTGAACCTTTTCTTACCGCAGAAATTGTGAATGTTGTATCAAATAAGCACATTTATACGCGATAATTTATACATCGTAACTATACAACTGTAAATAACAATGGATCATTTTATTTTGGTAAATAGTTATCCCGTCAGAAGGCGATTAAAGTTAAAAAGAAAAAAACTGTTGTGTTACTGATACGAAAACATTACATATATGTATACAAAAACAATAAACTAAGAAAATTCAGACATTTTTAATATTCTTTAGTTTCTGGTTTTTCCTAATAATATTTTTCCTATTTGACTGTTTTGTAACGTTGTAATGTTCGCGCGTCATACTAAAAATTTTTATTATTAATAAAAACTTTAGAGCATGCATTCATTATATGTTCATAACATATGTTGTCTTGATCGAACCAATCTGGGAATTTTTCACGAGTGTATGTTTCAACAATTTCTAATAAATGAAACAACAATTTTCTGTGATGCCATACACTTTCATGATACATGTCAAATGCTTCTAATTGCCAATTTACTACATTCGTGAAAAATTCTGTTGGTCTCGTCAAGTATTTGATTCCTGGCGTGTCCGGATCCGAATGCGAAAACTCTCGGTATTTAATATACTGTTTCTTGTCTGTACTTGACGAGTTGATATATTTTATGAAAACCTTTTTACAGTCAAGACAAGAACTTTTTTTAGATATATATCCAGCAAAGAAAGTTATCGCATTCGATTCGAAGATATCCTTATCCGTCAGTGCAGGCTTCTCAATGGATTCTACATTAAGATACAAATCCATTGAATCAGCAGCTCGAATGAGTTCCTGAATTTCTTTCAATTCCTTTGATTCGTACTCAAGTAAATCTATTTCGTTCGTTAATTTTTCTGGATTTTCCATATTACAAATATTTTCACTACCTGACTCTATTAAAGAACTCTACTCTTGACACATAACGTTTGCTTTCTTACTGCTGTGAATAAAATCTGTTGATAAAATGTGACGAAATGCTAGTCGATACATTCTACAGGTTGGATTGGCATTAAATCCACTTCTTCCACGTATTTTTGCATTGATATGTTCGACCGAATCGTTATTGCGAAGGCCTGTTGCTAACTCAAAATTTGGAAACTCTAATTGTAAATCGTCATAAAGACTGAGTAAAGCTTGTACCGTCAAAGGAATTCCAGATAAACATGGTGGTTTTGAAGCATTGCACGTTGCACGACCCATTGTTTAGACCATGCAACAAACTTTTCGAGACGCTACTGAATGTCTGGATTTCTATCTGATAATGGACGCTTCAGTGGATTTGTAGAAATGAAATAATATGAACTACAGCCTCATATGACAGCATTTAGATTTTCAACAAAATCAGCTAAAGCTTGCCAACTTATCGATGACATTAATCCATGTGCATCTTCACCTGCTATTCTAATAGCACTTGTCAATCGTTTGCTCAATAATTGAAACGCTGACTTAACTTTCATGGCATCAAAACTATTGGGGTTGAAGTGATTGTAACTCAGATGTCCTAATAAATTGGATGTTCCATGACTTCTGTCAAGTTCCCATGTTTTAATTAAATCATTAAAACTTATAATTATATTGTCATTTATCAAAATTTTGTCATGGGATCTTAACTGAGCTAGTAATCGTTTGATAAGGTGATGCCATTCAAAAGTTGCAAAATACCTAATATAATTTACAAAAAATTATGGCTTTTCTACTGTAATATTGATACCTTGATAACACAAACGATTAACCTAACGTGAGCATTATTTTTTTTCAATTCAATTAAAAAAGTCTGAATAATTTTAAGAATTTTGTTCAGCTGTGGCGCCATGTTCATTAAAACCAAAAGCTATCAGTTGACGCCATGTATTGTTAGCATTTATACTGTCTAAACAAAATAAAAGTGCATGCTCAGCAACTTTCCGACTTCTAAGATGTTTACCCATATCAACTAACCCTTCAATTATATCGAACTTCTTGGAATATTCTTCATACGCTTTTAAAGACATTTCATCAAATTTCAGTGCACATACTCGTTCATCTTGTGGCATGTTGTTTGAATTTACT